GGAGGTAACGACAGCGCTGTAAAGGGAACATCAAGGCCCTCATGCTTCTGCAGTAACATCTAACCGTGGGCCTGGAGTAGGATGTGATGGAGTGGAATGGGAGAAGCTCTCAGGCAGAGGAGAAACAACTGTCCAGTGGACGGCCCAGAGCAGTCACGCCACAACCCTTTTCTCCTCTTCCCAAATATCCCAGAGGGAGGCAACCCTACTCAGGGAGGGGGACAAGCAGATGCCTGCTCTCTCCCACTGATTATCCATCATGTAATCAAAGTGCTCTTTCTGAAATGCAATTTTGATCAAGGCATTCATCCATTTAAAATAATTCAGTGACTCAGCATTGCTATGAAATAAAACTCAGCACAGTTTACCCAGCCCGGAGCCCCATGGTCTGCTATGTCTGGCTATACTTCCAGATCCACTACCACACTGTACTCTCCTCCCTCCGTGCTTTGCACAGGTATTGCCAGCACCTGGGATGGCCCTATCTCCATCTTCACTTACCTACCCTTCGGTATCTTCTGGTATAGTCCACCTCCTTCTCAAGGAAGCCCTAATACTGGCCGAGATCACCTCTCCTCCGAGTCCCACTGACCTGCCTGCTCCCACATCTGAACAAGCCACGCTGCACTGCGTTGCTTGTCTGCTTGTTGGGTTTTCCTTACTATCCTATGCGCATCTTCCTTACTCTCCTTTGTAGCCCCAATGCTCAACACAGGACCTGAAACATAGCAGGTGCTCAAAAACAAAAAATCTGTCAATGAATTCATGTGTTCGCAGACAGGAGTGAGTGACTGGGAGCTGAAGTTGCCGCCCCATCGAGGAGGTGACGGAAGGGCTCTTCCCATTGTGGGTAGACTGCCCGCCTTGCTCACCGGGCAGGCGTGAGAGACGACAGCATAATTCTTCCCACTCTTTTTGGTTCTTTTTTTTTTTTTGCAGTGTAAAATTTTTATATTTAGAATTAGCCAGCTGGACTCAGTTTAGATGATCTCAATTTTGTTTGCAACATCCAAAGCATCATAGTCAGTGGTTCTTACCTTTTAGTGTCAGAGATGCTAAGCTGGATGATCCATGGAGTATGACTTAGTGTAACAAAGCAGTCTTATATTTTAAATTTTTTAAAAAGTTCAGCTTTATTTTTATGGGTGACCCGGCAGAACTGTGCTTTTCATCTCTGTTTCCTCCAGGAGCAGTGGCTCTGTATTCATGAATGCAATGTCCACACCAACTTTATAGAACATAACTACCAGGAGTAATGAGAATCAACTATATGTTAATCTAAAAATCTGCAGAGGGTGAAAGACTTCCCCAGGGTGACTGGCCTCTTCCTCTCCCTGCCCTGCTGAATGGGCCCCCATAAGCAGAGGGTCTACAACGGCTCAGACAGAAGGACACCCGGGTTTGATGTCAGGCCTGCTGCTTACTAGCCATGTGGCCTTGTTCAGGACCTAAACCCTTGCTGTCTCAGTTTCTCACCTGTAAAATGGGGGCGGAATCTTTTACATTCCAGCCTGCCTCACAGGATCACACACACAATCACAAAGATCGTGTATGTGAAAGAACATTCTACACTCTCAAGTGTTATGCACATATTAAATACATTATTTCTTTATGTTATAATTCCAAACAAAAAGGTATTTCATGAGGAATGTATGTAATGCAACAAAGGCCTCATGTTTAAGGCTAACAGCCTTCTTGTAGTCCAGATTTCATTGGGAAAAAGCCAGGAAGGCAGACACAAAATCAAGCTCATGTTAAATTACCGAGGTACAGATGACAAACACAAATGGATTATTTAAGAATAAATAAATAGCCCTGGCAGGTTTGGCTCCGCGGTTAGAGCGTCGGCCTGTGGTCCAGAGAGATCCGGGTTCAGTTCCCACTAAGGACATGTACCTCGGTTGCAGTTTCTCCCCGGCCCTGGCTGGGTCGTGCGGGTGGCAGCCATTTGTCCCTTTCACGTCGATGGTTTCTCTCTCTCTTCCTCTCTCTTCCTTCCCGCTCTAGCTGATCAAAAAATGGAAAAATGTCCTCGGGTGAGGATTTAAAAAAAGGAATAAATAAGTAGCCCTGGCCAGTTTAACTCAGCGGTTGAGTGTCGGCCTGTGGACCAGAGTGTCCAGGGTCGGTTCCCTCTAAGGGCACGTACCACAAATAAATAAATAAATAAATAAATAAATAAATAAATAAATACGACCCCTCATCCCCTAGTGTTCTCCTCTCACCCCTGGGTTAGTCCAGCCGCGGGGTGTGGGTAACTGCGCAGGAGCCCCCGGCCAGCCCTGATGCATCTGAAACGAGCAGACGGAGAGCTGCCAGGGCCACATCTGCCGGCATCTGCGGGGGTCACGGTGAGCGCTCGCACACCCCTAACCCCCGGCCTCCTAGGAGCTCTTTCTGCCTACATATGACCCTATGGAGAGTCCCTCATCCTGGTATTCCTCCAAATATGCCTTTTAAGAAAAATAAGGGGAACGTAAAATTACTTAGCACTTGAGAATTCCACACTTTTTTCCTTCACAGGCAGAACACCAGTTTACAAGTAAAGGTGGAGAGACTTCTGTGAAAGCCTGTTCTAAGCCCTGCATTTCTAACTCCCAGGTCGACATCCTCAGGACCTCCACACAGCAACAGAGGAAAATAATGAAGCATACAGACCAACCACTTCTACTGCCAGGACAGTTACAGTAGAGCATCAAACACTATCAGAAACTTCAATATCCACTACCTAATTAGGGTCTTCTCTCCTAAGGAAGCAAGTGAAAATCATGATATTGTTAGACCAAGTAGAGATTTATGCACACAACTTTCTGTTTCACCATATTCCTAAGTTATTTGTAAAACATTTGAATAGATATTTAAATGCCTGAAACATATTTGCTGTTTTAGCAGTGAAGTGGCAGGAGGGGTGGGGAGAAGATACACTAGGGCCTTTGGTCTTACTCAGCAGTTCCCAACCTGTGGGTGGCGACCCCTTTTGGGGGTCGAACGACCCTTTCACAGGGGCTGCCTAAGACCATCAGAAAACACATATTTCCGATGGCCATTCATAACAGTAGCAAAATTACAGTTATGAAGTAGCAACAAAAATAATTTTATGATTGAGGGTCACCACAACATGAGGGACTGTATTAAAAGGTCGCGGCATTAGGAAGGTTGAGAACCACTGGTCTTAGTCATCTACCTTTCTGACTGAAGCAGGGAGGCCAATTAAGAAAGGCTGACACATGTCCTGTCTTTGACAGGGTTTAATTCCTAGGTCCTCCAACAGGTTTGCTCCTACCAAGTAGTGATCTGCCTCACTTAGGCAGTGCCCAGGTCCTGCAAGTGATGCTGGAGAACAGTGCTTCTGTCATGTTCCTAGAGCCAGGACTGATCTAGGAATCTGACACCTGCTAAGGGCAATCCATCCTGAGTCTGCTGAACGAGGGAAACCTCTGGATAGATAGCAGGGAAGAGTGCCTATGATGTGCATTCCATTTTCTAAAGACAAACATTCCACATGTCGCCATCACTCTTGGAGGCAATTTTAAAATAGTCCTTCGAAGTCTCACCTATCTTCTCCACTCTCGCTGTGACATCTTCTCTTCTTGCCCCATGCCTAACTGAGGCACCACAACAGCCACCTGCTTGGTGCTGGTCTCGATGCTCTCCGTGCTACTCAAGCAGACCCACAGCCCAGGCATCAGCTGGCAGCTGGCTAGGAATGCACTCTCAGGCCCCACCCCAGGCCCATTCGGTCAGAAACGGCACTTGAAGAAGATACAGGTGGCACATATACACAACGAAGTTTGAAAAGAACTGCTCGAAGCCATCTGCACTACCAACCAACCATCCCCTTTTTATCAATCAACACTCTTGAGCCTAGGAAGGCCCTCACAGGGCACTCCCAAGTTTGCAGCGTTACTTCGCCCTCTTCCCAGCATGCTCAGGGAGAGCAGGTTGTTTTCTGGGGAACACAGGCAGAGAATATGGCACAGACTGAGCACATCCAGGAGCCACTCAATAAACACGTATTTTCTTTCCTTATATCTATTCACCACTCCCAACATCCACATAGCTCCTTCAGTCAGTCCGTTTCTGTCTGATACTTCTTCCTCCAGTATGTAAAATAGATCCTCCGGTGAAGTGAGCCTTCAGGCCCTAATGTTAACATTTCAGCTCTACAACTCATTTTCTGGGTTATTTGGAAAAACTGTTTAACTTCCCTAGGCCTCGGTTTCCTCCTCTGTCAATGAGGAGGTTAATACAAGTGCCTTCCCTTTGGGGTGCTGAGCAAACACTCAGTGTGGTGTTCGTGATCCCTAGTATCCAGGCTCGGATCAGGAACCCTCCACCAACTAAGTTTGGACACTTTCCCTTTCCTTTGAAGAACTACAGCAGTAATAGGCCAAGCCATACGGCTTTAAAAAAAAAGGTGTCAGGATGGTGGTTGTTTTTATAGATTGTGAAAGTAAGTCATGGTGAATATAGAAAAATATTTTTTTAAAAGAAATACATCATTCATAATCTCACCACCAAGAAAACAACTGTTGACATTTTAGAGTATTTCTTTCCAAACAAGTAGATCTTGCGTTTCACGAGGAAAAGAACTAAGTCTTAGTCTTCTCAGAACCTTCCCGACTTGCCCACGCCCAAGGCCTCTCCTCTCCCTGGACCCTGCCTAGCACCGTGCGGAGCACTCGGCAGCTGACACACACACACACACACACACACACACACACACACTCACCTGTGCCGTGGTGACTGATGTACCGATGTAAGTGGCTTAAGCCAGCACATACATGTGAACTGTCTACACACAGAACTAGGGACAGTATCAGTGATGTAACTGTTTGGTTCTTTGTTCGGTTCAGACTGCTCCAAGTGTGCTCATCCGTCTTCTACTGCTCTAAGTGTGTGATCTGTATTCTACATGACTGCTGTTTGTGTTTGGTGGTGAAGGTGTGTTTCCATGGAGCCCCATGTTTCCTTTTTCAATGTACTGAGATTTCACATACCTACAGGGATGGTCATCCCGTGAATTTTATCAGCCCAGCCTGCATAATACCGAAGGGTTTTGATGACCCCCTGCAAATCCACATAAAAAGCTTGCAGGAACGGTTTGCCACCATTGAGGGATTCCATGGTCTGTTGGAAAAGAAACAGAGAGAACTTTCCAGTGATACACAAAATAATTTTTGGAGCAGAATTAAAAAGAAAGCAAGAGAACACAGATGAATGTGAACAGTGATGCATACCTGGTAAACTCTGACTTCTCAAATACAAAGATTTTAGTACTGCAAGTTTAGTTTAGTTTCCAGTCAAAACCACAATGAAGCCCGGCCAGTGTGGCTCAGTGGCTGAGCATTGATCCATGCACCAAGAGGTCGCTGGTTCGATTCCCGGTCGGGGCACATGCCCAGGTTGTGGTCCCGATCCCCAGTGGGGGGCATGCAGGAGGCGGCCAATCGATGTTTCTATCTCTCTCTCCCTTCCTCTCTCTCTAAAATCAATAAAATAAAACAACAAAAAAACCCCACAATGAGTATATATATATATATGCTTTTTCTTGTGCCTGTGTGCTTCCTGTAATCACCATCCAAACACATCCAAACACATAAGCACAAGTTTTTTCCAAGTGATGATAAACAAATACTTTGCTTGTCAAACCACCTTCTTTTATATTCATGATCAGAGCTGGGGTGGGGGGGTGGGGGTGGAGTCTACACCAGTAATCTGAATCTATAAAGAGGAACAGGGACATGGGCTTTTATGCAACTGATGAGAATATAAAACGCTTTTCACAGCTGCCAAGACCCCTGCTGAGAAATGGAATATCCACGGTGCACAGTGGGTTTATTTATTGCCACCAAATAAACAAGATCTCCTCCAGGGAAGCCCAGGCTTTAACTACTTGAGGGCTGGCTTTTTGAAAATATTTATGTTAACAACCATTACATATTGAGAGTCTGGTTCATTTAATAAGAATAGAGATATTAAGCAGTTTTAGATGAGAAATGTTATTTGAATCACAGGTTCTTAAAGTGGGTAAATCTGTAACAAAAAGAATTACAAATGAACACACTGAAATTAGACAAGAGTATTTTGACTTGAGGAATTTTAAAGGTGGGACAAGTTGAACAAACAAAATAAACAAAAACGTGTTTGTAATCTCATGTCCTTCTCTATAAGCACATTTTATAATGCACACTGGTGTGAAACACAGCGCTGAAGAACTAAATCAGACACGTTCTCCATTCAATAACATAAAAATATCGTTACTTACAGTGCACTTTACCTGCTTACTCTGTGTATGAGATGAAATTCCTTTTAAAATGTCATGTTACTTAGCTTCATAGCTATTTCCGACTGACTTATTTTGCTTAGTATAATATTCTCAAACTGCGAACCACACGAGTTCACTCAGATGTGGGAAACTCGCAGACGACGACAGTAAGGCGGTTAGCAGAGGGAAGGGATGGGGAGTGGTGAAGGGGGACACATGTATGGCGATGGAAGATGATTTGACTTTGGGTGGTGGGCACACAATACATATACAGATTATGTATCACAGAAATGTACACTTGAAACCTATATGATCTTATTAACCAATGTCACCCCAATAAAAAATAACATAAAATAAAATATCATCTTACTTCTCACTGTACATCAGCTCACCTTTATTAAAGGTAATCTAATTATTTCCTAGTACTCTTTAGAACATTGATATGTTTGAGATACTACATTCTCCATGTCCAGCACAGAGCCATCTACACTGCACAGAGCGGAATGGAGTCAATAACTAAAATCTGGGCCACCTAAATGGCCCCTTTGAGCTACTGACACCAGCCCCGTTGCCTGAGCGCTGCCAGCCATAGGCTTATTTTCAACTGTGTTCACTTGGATACAGTATTAACTTCAGTTTTCTGGTCAGGAGCCCCCGTGTGTCCCAGAGGCTACCTCTTATCAACACTCAGTCCTCTCACGACCTGGTAGTGTTTAAAAGGAGGAATGCCATTGAGGTGTCATCACAACGAGACATATGTCAGAAAAAGAGTGTCATTTAAATTTTATGACATGAAAATATAACTGCAAAAATGAACCATGTCATCATCTAGTACATATTGTTAATCTAATGCTGTAAATATTGTATATCTTTAACTCAATCAAACTGATTCTTACAGACCATCAGTGTATCTCCCACTGACCATTTATGTGGCAGGAATGGTGCTATGGATTTTTTAAAAAGTAAAATACAATTTTCACTCTCAAAAATATTATAATCCAGTGAGGAGACACGCATACAGACTAGCGTTCCCCAAGGTATCCCAAAGAATTGTTTTGCACAATATTGATAGGTTAGCCAAAAAAATAGTGTTGAGGCTTAAATAAGTTAGAGAAACATTGAGCTGGGCTTTTTAAAGTCTTTACTATGCTTTGTGTCTTGTAAATCTCCAAGAAGGAGCTTGATTAGGAAATGTTTTTGCAGACAAATAAAGGTTACATATAGTGAGAGCTCCAAACCACCTCCACAGAGGACTCATTTTGTTCCCACACTCTGCACAGATCCCTGCGGGCTGGTGGGCGGAGGAGCCAGGGAGAAGGCGCTGAGGAAGGAAAGGCGCCCGCCTCTCCCAGAGCAGGACCCACAGGCCCTGCTCCCCAGGCAGACGGGAGCATGCAGTACTCCTGGCCTGAATGCCCTGGCTGAGCAAGGACGCCCTAAATATCAACAGATCACTGTGGGTCATCCGTGTACAGATCCCTCATGCACAGAACACACGTTTCCTGATGGTTCCAGTTTCCACAAAGTCCGTATTCTCTAACAAAATGACTTTTACTTTAAAAATGGCGATGACGACAAAAAATCACTAGACACTCTTTTTCTGACATAGGTCTCATTGTGATGACACCTCAATGGCACTCCTCCTTTTAAACACTACCAGGTCGTGAGAGGACTGAGTGTTGATAAGAGGTAGCCTCTGGGACACAGGGAAGCTCCTGACCAGAAAACTGAAGTTAATACCATATCCAAGTGAACACAGTTGAAAATAAACCTCGTGTAAGTTCCTGATGTAAGAAGAAGATTGTTTTAGTGAAAGAAAGTTGCTGAAAGTGACAGAAGAACAAGAGAGCAGAAATGCACAAGAAGTCCCTGTCGTGCCCTGTGCTTCTGAAAGACCCTTTTTAGCGAAGAGGGTTAACTCTGGGGAGGTAAAACTGTCCTTCTGGATTCTTAGATGAATCATTTGGTTTTCTGCGAGCAGCATGGTGACTCTCCTGCTGCTCAACTGTTGTGTTTTGTTGGGGGGGGGGGAGGCCGGAAGGTCCTTACCAGCCATGGGAAGCTATGGTTTTGTTCTTCAAAGTTCAGTGAGAAGGAAGAGACACTCAGCTGGTCCTCCACTTACTTCCCCCACAAGACCACAAAGGCCCAACGTCTCTCATTTTTTCACGTGTATTACTCACTCCTTAGCTTGTCCCTGGGTCTGCTTCACGTCCCATTTTCAGAACGAGTGAGAAATCTACATTTCAGTGGAAAGGCACATTTGAGGTGAAGACGACGTTTCCTTAGGCTACTTACTGCAAGCACTGCCCTGTCCCGTTCCACCAGGTCCGCGAGCTTCTCCAGCAGCCGTCCTCTCTCGGAAGCATCCGTCCTCCTCCACACGGAGCCCAGAGCAAAGGCCAGGCGGGCCGCCTGCACCGCTTTGTCTATGTCTGCCTGTTGAGAGAGAGCACAGTGACGCAGATGACACTCCAAACCAAGAACCAGATGCTCCCGTGAAAACGTGACCAAATGGCGGCGGCGGTGTGTGGAAAGCGATTTCATAGGGAGTCTTTCTTCTAAGAAGTACATACCTTGTCTGCTTCTTGAACTTCACACACCTGCTCCCCCGTGGCTGGGTTATAGACAGGGAAGGCTCGCCCGCTCTCTGAGTTCTGCCACTCGTTGTTGATGAAGATCTAAAGGAGTACACAGCAGAATGGGCTCGGTGAGAGAGCTGGCGGGAAGCCAGCAGCCAAAGGCAATCTGTTATGGAAGTACCACGGTAATCATTCTTATTCTATACACTGGCTGCTGTGTGATTAAAGTACAGAATCTGAAGAGTGGTGAAAGACCCTTAAACGGTATGCAGTCCAGTTTCACCTCGAATTCAGGTATTTCCTCTACGGTATTTTTTAACTTCAATGTCATCCAAAGATTAAATATAGTGAAACTGCCATTGAGAGAGTCAAACAGGAATGAAAGGACAGAGTCTCATAAACATACAAAACATACACTGAGGCTGAGAACATATTTATTGCTCCATTGTCCAAGCTCTGGCCAACACATGTAAGGAGTAAGCCGTGGATTAAACTGACCGTGGTCAAACCTGAGGTCCTAGTTTCTCAGTCAGAGGCATTAGCGTCTTCACAGGGAACCTTGAAGGTGTTGAAATAAGCCTTTCCTTAATTTTCAGGCAGATCCTGAGCTGAGCAATGGCTCTGACCAAACTAACTAGTGAATCAAATAAGTTACAAGTCAAATCCAAGTTACATTTCTTTCTTTTTGCTTGGTAGGCTACATGGCTTAGCAAAAGGAAAAGGTCTATAACTTTCAAATTGGTCTCGCTAGGCTTTCTTAAGAGACTTGTCTTCCTTATATAAAAAAATGAAGGTTTTGTTAAAATAGCAGAGACTCATGATTTAAAAAATTACTTGAGTCTATTTCTCAGATTTTTAAGACATGCGTTAAAAGAGAAGGGGAGCCCTGGCTGTTTTGGCTCAGCGGTTAGTGTCGGCCTGCGGTCTTGAGAGACCCGGGTTCGGTTCCCGCTAAGGGCACGTAACTCGGTTGCAGTTTGTCCCCGCCCGGCCCTGGTTGGTCATGCGGGTGGCAGCCACTCGATGTGTTCCTTTCACATCGATGTTTTTCTCTCTCTCTGTTCCTCTCTCTCCCTCCCACTCTACCTGAACAAAAAATGGAAAAATGTCCTTGGGTGAGGATAAAAAAAAAAAGAGAGAGAAGGGGAAATACAGGCAAAGAACTTTTTTTTTTAACCCTCACCTGAGGATATTTTTCCATTGATTTTCAGAGGGAAGGAGGGGGAGAGAGAGAGAAACATTGATATGAGAGAGACATATCAATTGGTTGCCTCCTGAAGGACCACAACCAGGGCCAGGGACAAACCGCAACTGAGGTACATGCCCTGGACCAGAATCGATCTGGTCAAGCAGTCCCACAACTCTTTGGTCCGCAGGCTGACACTCTAACCACTGAGCAAAACTAGTCAGGGCATAGGAAAATAAATTTTTCTTTTAATTTTGAAATTGAAACAGAAATACGACTAATATTTTGGACTATAAAAGCTCAAAGACTACTCAGAGATATTTTACTCTATAAAATTTATGCCATGACAATGAAAATTTCTGAGTCATTCAGAGATAAGCTGATCTGTTATTGCCTCCCATTTTAACAATCACAGATGAGGCTAAATCAATATACAGTGACAATTTTAAATATTATTCTAGATTATTCCAAAGCTTTGCTTTTTTCCTGGCTTTGATAAAACAATGAGCTTGTGTTGAAGTGTTGAAGGAGTTATTGTTTCCTGAAGGCTTTTTAAGATAAAGGGGAAAAAAAACACCTTAATTCTATACAGCACTTAATACAAATGTATTTAGCACAAACACAATGACCTTGTAATTTCATACATTCTATAATTTTAAAATATAATTTATAAATATGATTAACAGAATGTATTCGTTGATTCAATAAATACTTAGCTACTTGTAGCCACAGAAGCGGCAAAGCTGACAGAGTTTCAGCCATCCAGAGAGCATCTTATAGTCTCTAGTAGTTTATTAAATACTCACAACAACCATAACAGCAGGATTTCATTATCTCTACAAAAAATGAAACAACTGAGAGGCCGCAAGTTGCGAGTCCTAAGAAGCAGATTTTCATAGTGGCTCCGATTCAGTCTGTTGCTCTTTCCACTATACCATGGTCTCAGGATTGTTCAGCCCAAACAAACACAACTAGTTAGTTAATGTTTGAGTCTAGATTAGAGCGATAGTTCTTGAATTGCTGGTCTAGTTCTCTTTTCACTCCACTTAACAAATTTCCTAACAGTTCACAGCTCAACATATCCGATATTACTTTGAAAGACCATATGATCTCTAAGGTAACAAAAAAATTAAGAGGTTAGCTTCATTAAGGATTCACATCCAGAGTATTATTATCTGATTTAAGGAACAAGGAGTCTTGTCAATATTCCTTATTTCTTTTATTCACTAATTACCCACTTATTAATCTTTGGACTATCATCACGATCCAATTTAGATCTTAAGCTTCTTTGTTAAGCAGTTCTAACTATTTGTAAGGATTAATATTTCATGACTTTTATTGTTTCTTAGAGGTCTTCCAAAGATTAAAGAGAAAAATTACTTATTTTTAATAAAATAAAACTCATTCTCTTACTCTTATCATTTAAGTCCATTGATCATTTTATAAACCTAAGATACATTAGGGGGTCTTAGCTATCTTTTCTTATACCTTAAAACACCTTGCTCTCTCTTAATCCTAGAAACTATTTCATCATCACTCATCGATTACTTCCAACTATGCTAAAAAAAAAAAATCCTAAAACAATAAGGAAACAAAAAACCAAAACTGCCTAGAAATGAATAAATAAACAGATCACCCGTTTCCTCATCCTTTGATTTCTTATTGTATTGTCCAAAGTGATGCATTATCTTTCAGAAGGGTATAAAAAAGTCTGGAGACACCATCTTTGTCACATTCTGTCTCATTTTTCACTGAACACAGTTAAGAATTCAGAAATTGTTCATGTCCATCCATAATAGGAAAGAGAAGAAAATTAACAAAGACAGTTCACAATTGTTACATGAGTCAGAAGATGAAGGCAGAGACAGAAACACTATAGAGACTCTACTGATGAGTGTGAAACTGACTAAATAAGCAAAAGCTTGGACTATGAGTCTTTTAGACAAATAAATACATTTTCTCAAACTGAAAAATCAAAGAGAAAACAGTTTATAAACAAAAAAGAAGGAAATATGATATTTTGACCAGTCATTCAACAGGAAGAACTTAATCATTTATAATTTTTCAACAAGAACCTGAACCATATTGTTTTGATAAAAGGACATGTGACAACTACTTTTATCTTTTATGATACGTGTGGATAAAAACTGACTTGCTATGATTCATAAATGAGCAAATGCTGAAGGTAGGTGTACATGCAAAGGTGGTTTGGATGTAAAAATAAAAAAGTTCATTGGATTGATCAATCTAATTTATGGTGTTTGTTTTTAAACTGAAAATAAGAATGTTTCTGTAATTATGGAACAAAAAGATCCATCGTCTTTTTTTTTTTTTTGCATTTATCTTCAGACAGAGTGGGAGAGAGAGAAATATCTATGTGAAAGAGACACATTGACTGGTTGCCACCAACACGACCCCAACCAGGGCCAGGGACAAACTGCAACCGAGGTACGTGCCCTTAGCGGGAACCGAACCCGGGTCTCTCTGGACCATGGGTTGGCGCTCTAACTGCTGAGCCAAACTGGCCAGGGCTGGCCATCTTCTTTTTTTACAAAATTATGAGCCTTCAAACTTTTCAATGGTATTACATTGTGACAATGCACATGAAAAGAAAAAAAAACAAAACAGAAATAATAAGCTAATCTATCAGAAATGTGATTAAAATCTGGAATCAGTATTTATGACATGAATGTTTCCGGTTTCATACATGAAAGCTCATAAACACATTGGTGCACTCAAAGGCCATGCCTCTTTCAGGTACATATACCTCCCAAACCAGAAAAATGCAGAAGAAAATTTGGCTTGCTATATTTAAATTCTTACTTTGTGGGTTTCACTATTTATTTACTTCTATAAATTTTTCATAAAATAATTTAAATTTTTAAAAATATAAAGAGTCCATTGAGCCCAAATAGTAAATGTGATGACTATTTTCCTGGTATGACAGAGGTTAAAATATTTTATATTTTATTGTGTTACCTTTTTTGTAGACCCAGCCATACAGTATGGTAATTAAAAACTCGTACTGACAACTTTGTTGGTACACAGAATAGTGAATACCTCCACAATACTTCAAGGTTTCCAGCTTCTCTGGGCCATTTCAAAAGTTTTGAATGCTGTCTAAAGTGCTCTTCTCTGACCAGGCTTCTTGTAGAACTAGTTTATTTCAGGACTATAGCAGGGAAGCATAAAATGATCCTGGACTATTGTGGCACCAGAAATCAAGTACATGTCCAAAAACTGATGGGACATAGTGAGAGGACAGGAGCCAACATGAAGAGGCTCCCAAAAGGGGATCATTTAAACAACAAAATAACAATATTAATGAGTTATTATTCATAGAACAAAAAAAGCATCCAAGAGACCATACTGATAAAAAAATTTTTTTTAAATGAGCAAATAAATAAAGGAGGGATAGGACAAAGCTCTTCTTCACAGTCACACTCCAGCTAACAACAGTGAAGGAAGGACGGAACTGGACCATCAGCATTTGTCAAACACCACAGTAATAACTGCTTCAGGCAAAAATCATCAACAGATGGTAAACTTAGTGGCCAAGAGTATAATGAAAAATTGGGTGTTCCTGTAGTCTCCCTCAAGATACTTATTAATTACAAAGAGAAAATAGTCACTTCACATTGAAGAACTTGGCAGAGAGCACCTTAATCAAGTGATCAAAGTTAACGTCACCAATGATGGGACAAATTGATATCATATGCTCCTTATATGACACACTGGGGACACAGATCTTTCTGTGGTAGTCTTACTCAAAGGCATAACCTGAATTTAATCATGATGAAATTATCAGGCAAATCCAAATCAAACCACATCCTACAAAATATGTGGCCTTAATTTTTTACCTTTCTAAGCACCAAGGTCATGAAAAACAAAGAAAGATTAAAAAAGTGTTCCG